TTCCTTTAACATATCTTAACACTCTCTTCAGTGTTTGCCAGTGTGTGGATGTTGGTGATTGCAAAAATTGGCTTAACTTGTTTACAGCAAATGTAATGTGTGGCCTGGTGTGTGTAAGGTATTGTAGTACTCCCACTGCACTTCTGTAAATTGAGGGATCCTTCAACACCTCCCCATCAGTTTTGGACATTGTTTTGCCAACAAGAGTAGGTGTAGGACAAGGTTTCAAGTTTTGCAACTCAAATTTCTTAAGTAGATCAGCAATATATCTTTTTTGTGCAAGATGAACTTCTGAATCATGCCACAACACTTCAACTCCAAGAAAATGATGAAGTCTCCCTATGTCTTTCAGTGCAAATTTTTTGTTCAACTTATGAATCCTTGCAACAGCTCCTTGTCATTACTTGTCACAACGATGTCATCCATGTAGATAAGTGAAAAGATACTCTGCCTTTCATTCTTGAAGTAAAATAGTGATGTGTCTGCCATAGATTGCTTGAACTTCCAGCTTAAGAATGTTGTTTTCAACTTGTCATACCAGGCTCTAGGTGTCTGCGTCAGTCCATAGAGTGCCTTTTCCAGTTTTTATACGTAATTAGGCTTTGATTTGTCTATAAATCCCTCTGGCTGGTTCATATAAACCACTTCTTCAAGCTTACCATTCAAAAAGGCATTGTTAATGTCAACTTGCCTGATAGTCCAATCTTTTGAAACTATCAGAGTATGATTCTTAAGGTTGATGGTTTAATAATTGGACTGAACGTTTCATAGAAGTCAATTCCAGAAGCTTGATGAAAACCTTTGGCTACCAATCTGGCTTTGAACCTCCAAGTGATCCATCTGTGTTGTTTTTTATTCTGAAAATCCATTTATTCCCTATTATGTTATAGGTTGGTGATTGGGGCACAAGTTTCCAGGTTCTGGTTTTTATTACAGCATTGAACTCTTCCTCCATAGCTTTCTTCCAATCTTCATTCATCGTAGCATCTTTTGCACTCTTAGGTTCTGAAGGCTCTAGATTGTTTTCAATTGATTTTCCCAAGTAACCTTAGGTTTAAACACCCCAGTCTTTCCTCTAATGATCATAGGATGCTCCATTAGATTTCTTACTCTTTGTTGAGGTCTCTTTTCGAGCTTATTGTCAACTGGTTGCTGATAACTTTCAAGTCTTTCATCATTCTGAGCACAACAAGTTCTATTTCTACAAGTTCTGTTTCAACATTATCCTCATTACCATTTCTGTCCGGCCTTTTAGAGCTATCACCATTGATCATGTTTTCTGAATCTCCTTAATTTTTTAAATTTTTATCTTAAATAAGTCAAATTATTTTATTTTTCCTAAATGAATTTGCTAACTAATTAATTTGACTCAAACCTAAAATATGATTTTACTATTGTCAATTTTCAACCAAGCCCAACTTAATCAAATTGACCTAAATTTTACCCAAATCTCTTATTCTACCGTAGTGTTGTTTCTGTCGTTCTATTATTGTGAACTCGCTATCTTCCTCTTCTTGTGATTTTAAAAGTCAAATCTATGAAGAACTCAACAAAGAAATGTGCAAAAGATATCACCAGATTGGACTACGTTATTTTGTACGAGTTAAGATTGAACATGACATAGTTGAATTAATGTAGCGTTACTGTAAATATAAAGAAATTAATTATTGTACGGAACTCGGTGTAACGACCCGACCTCTCACCGGAGCAGTTATCTTACGTATTGTCCGCTCTGGGGTGAGCTTTTGCCTACTTATCCCCTCACGGCTTTCAAACGCGTTCCCCAAGATTCGAACCCAAGACCTCCATCACATGGGAGACTTAAGTCGAATCCTGAGGAATGCGTTAGAAAGCCGTAAGGGTATAAGTGGGCAGAATCCCACCCCAGAGCAGACAGTACGTAAGATAACGGTTCCGGTGAGATGCCGGGTCGTTACACCGGGAACCGAGTAGAACCAAATTGAACAAAACCGAATTGAATGGAACCGAATCAGAACGGTTCCATAATTAAATTTGGACCGACGGTTCAACTTACTAAATGCCCGAAAATTTAGGCACCGAACCGGACCATGTCTAGTCCTAGTGCCCGAGGCATATTATTGAGCCTAACAGTGGGTCCAATACTAATGGAATCCAGTTTTTCATAACTTATGGAAAGCAGCCTCATCTCAATGGATTGTATACCATCTTCGGCAAAGTGATTCATGGGTTTGAAGTACTCGACATTATGGAAAAGGTATGGTTTTATACCTTTCAAGTTTGGTTGACGATATAATTTATCAAAAACATTGATTAACATGTGTATTAAGCTGGTGTCAAGAATTGTTGGGTTGATTTTCATTCTGATGTCGGGCTTCTCCCGAGCTACGAATACTGAAATGTGTGTTAGTTGCCCATTTTAAAGTGTTAATCATGAATTAACCAGTTGGCGTCTTTTTTGACGATTCGCAATGGACTAGAAAACTACTATTCATGAACATGTCCTTGTATTTGTGCAGACTCAAGCAGTACCAGGAGAACGGCCTCTTGCAGAGATCAGGATCAATTGTGTTACGATACATGCTAATCCACTGACTGGTTAAGTGTAAGTTAAATCATCATGTAATTGTACCCCAATTTTATGGTTGTCAAGGAACTGGGGAAATCTTCATTCACAATACAAATTTTGTTGATTAATCCCGATACCTTTTAGCTGATTGGCTGATTGATTTGTTTGATAGGATGGAACATATGGTACTAGAATTTTATTTGCTGGATTGTCTAATCAAGTCAAATATCGCATACCAAATATTATAGAATAATGCTATGTGTACACCATTGGGTGTACACAATGCTGTGCGGCCCCCCTTCCATGTGAGGGGGGTGTAATGCATTGTGTACACATAGCACAACCCAATATTATATAGGTTTTAACAATTGATATGGCTTTCTCATGCCCGGAGTTGTATCTATGGTGATTTAGTGGGCCTTGATCCTTGTTTAGTGCATTAAAATGTATCACGACTCTATTGGTATTGGATGAAAATGATTAACGTGATTTGAAAACTGGATTATCATTCGTCATAAAATGAAAAGTTCTTTCATTCAATTTAAATAAATGGAAGTGTGTAAACCAAGCTACCCCATAATCTAGTCAATTATTCTCTCTGCTTTTTCCAACCGGACCACATGATGTAGCATGGATTGAAGACCACTGCCAATTGGTTCAACTGTAATCATATGTAAAATTCACCACTTTCTGGCGGAAATATTGGACCCCAAAAGCCAAATTTTCAAGACATAAAGGGAAGGTTCCAAAATTAAAAAAAGATACACTAGTTCTGGTCACTTTCTGTGTGCCAACAAATGGCTACTTGGAATCTTGGACTTGGAAAGTAAACTAAAAGGCCAAAATAAAGTGTGGAAACAGTGTATATGTTTCTTCTAGCAATGGAGTTGCTGCTTGTTGGCTTTCCTAATCACACACAGTCATCTACCATCATTACAGTGGAAAATCCCTTCCACTATTATAGAGGTGAGTTTTGATGAGGGCAATGTAGGACCGTGCGATTTACTTTTTCTTGAAAAGTATAGGCAAATACGAGCTGAACAGATGAGCTTGGGATGACCCGCATGGAGTAGCGGGCATGCATACCCATGTGTAGGCACGTGCCAATCTGGGCCGCCCATTTTGACAACCCTAATCTCACGTGTAAACGTATGCATGTAGCCACAACTTGCTATAAATTTCATCTCTTTTTTCTAAATATCTTGGCCAACTCTTATTCACCATCTAAAATATATCTCCTATACCCCCCTTTCAACCCCAAAGCAAAAATTCTCTCTTTGAGACTTTTGTTAGAGAAAAATGTCCACCAACATTTCAGAATTGAAGTCATTTCAACCCTCATCTTCAACAGTTTCACAACCATGTCTGCAAAAGAGAAACGAGGTTCACTTTCGCCGGTTAAACAGGTCAGTCATCTTCTCTCTCTCATCCCCATCCAGGCAGCTGCCTCAGCAGTAGTCAGTAACAACATGTTGTGTAACAGGAGGTCGAGATTGTCGAAGGAAGTGATAAAACAGGCAAAGGTGGGCAAGTTGAAGATGGAGATGATGGAAATGACGAACGTAAAGCTGTATCTGAAAAACAAAAGAATTTTTGAAGATAACCAAAGGCTCCAAAAGCAAGCTCTTTTCCTTCAACAGGAGAACAAAGATTTGCTATCCCAAATACAAAAAATATATGATTCTCATAACAGCAGCAAACCCAATTAGCACCAATATCAAGATTGTTGCACTATTTTCATAAAAATACAGAGTTGTCATGTTATAAGATTTTATAAAGTTCTACATTAGTATTCAACTTACAACAATTCTTCTTGGACAGGACTGGCTATGAAATGTCATACGAGTTTACTCTCAACTTACGACAACTCTTTTTCTCTACCCGGTCTAGGTCTAGGACTGACTATGAAAGTCGTATATTATAGTAGTAATTTCGACTGTAAGCCTTTAAATTATTGATAATTATGATAAAAGAAGCTTTTTCAATCCCAGTTACAGGTATATTTTATTTGAATAATGTTATTTATCATTATTATGAAGAAACATCGGTAGTAGTATATGTGAAATAATGAGATAGGGCAATTAATTGTTAATAGTTTATGTTATGAAGAACAAGAGTTCGGTAGCGTCGTTAAAGATGCAAAACGACTACTCAAGATTGTCTTCAAGAAATGTGGGGCAGATAGTCCTCTGTACTATACATAAGAGTCTTCAACCCGACTTTTCCCAAGTAGGACAATATAAGAACAATGTAATTTTACTCGGACAATCTGTTCTGATATTGGTGACAGTAATTTACAAATACTCAGCAATACAAAACAAAGACATGGGGCTCTACCCCAACCAGAAAAAAAGGTCAACAGATGAAAAACAGTCATTTAATGTTTCAAAAGGGAATTCAACAAGAACAACAAAATTTGTAACTAACCTAGTTCTCTTAAACAGAATATCAGCTAATATCGACCAATCAAAATGAAGTCATCATCATCCAGAACCCGAACATCTCTCTCTCCAACAAAATTCTCCCGTCCGAGTTCCTTCACTATATACACAAACTCCACTCTCTTTGCCAAAGGAAGCGGAACGTAGGGTAGGCGGAAAACTGGCCTCACAACACCAAGCTGAGCAAGAGCTGTATTTAATCCAATAGGATTTGGCTCATGAAAAAGCCACTCGATTAGAGGCAGGAGCTTCGAATTTAACAATGGATTTTTCCCGCAAAACATGAGTTCTCTCATAAGACCAGGAACCAAGTTGCTAGTAACTGATATTACGCCTGTAGCTCCATAGTCCCATCTCGAATCATGGCACTGATCGTCATTTCCACTCCACGCGATAATTCCGTCACTCGTATACTGCTCTATTCTATCATTCCCGACACATTCCTTGACACCGGCCAAGTTGGGACTTTCTGCCGCGGTTTGAATCACGAGCGGGGGAATATCTTGGCCAGTTCGTGATGGCACGTTGTAGATGATTGTGGGGCCCATGGGAAGTACACTCCCGAAGTGAGAAATCAAGCCCTCCAATGAGGTCTTCCCATAGTAAGGATTGATATGAAGAGCTGCATGCATCCCAACGGCGAAGCCTTGTTCGGTGGCATGCATTGCTTCTTGAGTCGAATTGCTTCCCGTATTTCCAATAACCTTGATGGAAGCACCAAAACAGTTGACAGTGTGACCAATGAGCATTATATGTTCGTCCCAGCTCATCAACTGGCCTTCACCAGTGGTGCCACCAACAATCACACCCTCGGCACCATGTTCAATCTGCATATTCACCAAGGCATCATAAGCTTCTAGATCGAATCTGCCATCTGGTAGATATGGTGTTTTAATGGCTGTTATAAGTCTAAGTGACTTTATGTCTTCTGTATTTGTCCTGCAAACAAAATGGAGAAGAGGTACTCATATCAAAAATATTGTATTATCTTAGAACACAATCCATCTTCTCTTTAGTATGCCCAAGGCCATGTTCCTTAAAATAATCGTCTACCGTCATGTGAACAATGTTATCTTTCACAAGTACCAAACAGGAAAAATAATTTGAGATCATCTCCTTCTGTATGAAGGAAGAGAACATGCACGAATTTCAAAAACCCATTTAGGACGCTTACATAAAATCATTCTTAATACACTCATGCTCAGAGTATACATGAAAAACAGGCAACCATAAGTGGTAAATCACAGGACAGGGAGACGAGGAATTTATAATTAATCACTAGCAATCAGAAGGAAACCTAGATAAAACAAATATCAGTTACTAAATAACTTCTGAACTTCAGTTTAGACAGATTCGGACTAAAAAATCTCAACCAACAAAGAGCTAAGTAAGACACTGTGCGTGTTTATCAATCATACCAAATTCAACTTTTTTGCAGGTGGCTCCATAAGTTAGAAATTCACGCCAAAGGCATAAGACATACTGCTATTATTTAATTAGAACATCCTATCTCAGTTTGCAATTTATTCATTTTGTTTGGAAGTAGCATTTATCAGTTTGGATAGTACTAAATTTAACTTTTGTTACCTATAAAGAATAAGTGAAAATTTCCAACTCATGTATTGCAAGGATCAAAAACACTTTGAAACCATAAATTTCAGATTTAATCATCTTAGAAACAAACTGCGTCAGCATACTTCAGATTTTATGCTGTGAACAATATTAAATTAAATTCAAAAGGAGTAGATCCATATAAAAGAAAATTAATTTGCTCTGACAAATAAACCAGAATTGGCACATGTTCTGTTCTATTGAGTATAAACGAAGAATGCAAAGGTCTAAAGCATGCAACAGGGAGTAGCCCTTAATAATTACCGATTTTTAACTTCATAACTACGCATTGGGAGATGAAAATTTGGAATTATGGCTGCTCTTGGTGACCTCCATTTCGCAATTCTCCTGCATAGTAGAGAAAGAAACCCAAATCAGTGAAAAAATTGAAATGTGTTCTCTGCAGCCAGAAGTACTGTCACTCGTGCATTCCTTCAAATTGGCAGTAATGCAGTTATATTGTGTTTTGAAATATAAAATCTCGCACAAATCTCAACATCCCTAAAATAATCTACCATTATCAATTATTCCCTCAAATTACTTTATTTCAGAAAACGATGCATCAACAAGTTTTTTCTTTTCTTTTCTTTTCTTTTCTTACCTTGCTTTGCTATTTGTTTATCATTTCAAACAGAAGCAAAAGGATCATCAGCGCTCCTCACTTAGGCTAATACGAAGAAACTAGTGAAAAAACGTATTAATGAAACTTAAAACTTCTTCAATACTTGTATTTGTACAAGCAAATGTCTAAGTGCGAACTTTAATTTTTCTTATCTATTCTACAAATAAAGAAAGACACAGCAGATAAACAATAAGACAAACTCAGAATCTTCATAAATTAAATAAACAATCTTAGAATCTCCATGAAATGAATTAAATAAATAATCTCTAATGGGGAATAAATTTATTTATTAACAAATAAGAAAAATGTGACCTTTTGTTGCTATCAAGAAGCTGAAACTGTGATGCCGATTCCTTTAAGCTTCTGAAGGCAGAAAATTGCTGATACACCGCCGACATATCGAGATTAAGTAGATGTAGACCAAAGATAGTTGGGCATATAAGAGATGGTGCTGTTTAGCTTATAATTAAATTTCGATGAGAAAATGTGAAGTCAGAAAACTCGTATGGTGCTAATAGTTGTGATGGAAATGATAATGCTTGTGATTGTAATGATTGTACTAGTGGTAGCGGTAGCGTGGGGGAGGAGGAAGCGAGCAGCGATGGCGGCGCTGAGCATGACGTCTGATTCCGGCGGCTGTTTTGCGATGGTGCGTTCGAACACTTGAGTAGGGTTTTTGCTTTTGCGATAGTGCGCTCGAAGATAAAAAAATCAAACATTTGAAAAAAAATTAAGAGAAATTAATATATTTTTTTATTAATTAAAATTAAAATAAGTAAATTACTTATTAATTATTTCAATAAATAATAATTTTTCATTAAAAGTAAAAGAAAATTAAATTATCCAAACATGGGAATAGGGATGGCAATTTGAACTGTGAAAATTGAAAACCGTGGTTAACCGAACCGAATGGGGCAAAAAAAATCGAACCGATGGTGCAATGGGGCGGTTATGGTTTTGATTTTAACGAACCGATTCGTTGTGGGACGGGTATGGTATTTAACAACGATGCCCCGCTCCGAACCGATTACCCGCTAAAAAAAAATTTAATTGGACAATTTCAATTTTAATCTTTTTTTTTTTTGGACAAACTCATAATAAATAACAATTCATGTAGTAATTAGGGTCCTATAATTGAGCCCAGTAATTAGAATCCTATAATTGAGCCCACTACCCAGTAACCATTCCCATTACCCAATACCCAGTAACCATTAACCTAAATACCTAAATTCCTATTTCCTAAGCGTCAACACTCAACACGATCCAAAATTAACCTAAGACTTCCCTCCACCGATCTGCTCCACGACGGCGCTAAGTGAGGCTGTCCACAGACGGCAACGGTTTTACAATCCCCATCCGTATCCTCCCGTCCGGCGTACATTGAAGAATGTGAGGTATTTTTAAGTTTATGGTTACTGGGTAATGGTAATCGATTTCATTTTCATTTTCAGTCAATTTTAATAATTCAAAATTGTTCCTGTGTTTAAAGATGAAGAATTTCTTGGTCCTTCATTTTCAGCTTCTATCCGAAACATATGCTTCATGAGATATAGTAACTAGGACGATTTCAGAAGGGAGTGAATGCAAGAAATAGACTTATAGAGTTGAACTATTGTTTTTTCCTGTGTGTACGTGAAGGGTGGAGAAGAGGGGGAGAAAAGTAAAATAGGCATTTTGTGACTCATTAAGTGAGAAGAAGGCTATGACGAAAATTTTAAAAAGGCAGCCATTTTCGTCCTGGCCTTCAGAAAAAGGTCTTCTAAAAATATTTCCTCCCTTTGTATTGATGCTTCAGCCTAAGTATTGTTTTCTAACAATAGATTTGAAATTTAGTGGCATTGAATACTTCTTTTCTTTTTGTTGCGTTCATTTTTACTCCAAAGGAAATTTTGGACTGGACTTCTTGAAAACTAAGTATGGTAACCATGTGAAGATCAACTTCTTTTGCTCCCAAATATTTTTGTTTGATATTTATTGGAAAAAGTGTTACTGCTTGTGCATCTCACGAAGGAATTAACACAATGTTGAATATATTCTGGGATTAACACTTGGATTTGTCTTGTTGTAATTAGCTCATAATATCGTTTCTTAATATATCTTGTAAGAGCATTTAGTTAACTAAGTCAAAAAGTTTTAATATTGCTTCTTGGAAATAGTTTCCATTTATTTGACCATCCACATGAATTCATCTAATATATGTGATACATGAATTAATCAGATGTCTTGCCATGGGTCGGCGTCTTCTGTTCCGACTCCTCCCGCTTCAGTTGGAAGTGCTTCAGTTGAAGTTGGAGACGAGGTGAATGCAAATCCTACTCATATAGATTTAGATGATGATGAGGAGCCGACTGAGGAAATTAGAAAAAGAAAATTGACGTCTACAGTATGGCAGCATTTCAAACTACAGAGAATTAATAACGTGCCCAAAGCAATTTGTAAACAATGCAAGAAACAGTTAGGTGGTGAGTCAAAAAATGGGACAAGTCATTTACGTGCTCATTTGGATAGATGTCCCCTTCGAGGTCAGAAGGATGTCAAACAGATGTTTTTGAATCAATTTAAAGAACCTAGTGGTAGGACTGCAATGGGGGCATTTAATTTTGATCAAGAGAAAGGTAGGAAGGAACTTGCAAATATGATCATCCTACATGAATATCCTCTTTCAATGGTGGAGCATACTGGGTTTAGAAAATTTTGTAATACAATTCAACCATTATTTAAAGTTGTTTCTCGTAATACCATTAAGAATGATATCTTGAAAATTTATGATTACGAGAGAACAAAAGTAATGGGCTTGTTAGAAGGGATCAATAGTAGAATAGCAGTCACCACTGATATGTGGACATCCAATCAGAAGAAGGGATTTATGGCTATCACCGCACATTACATAGACGATTCTTGGAGGCTTCAAAGTCGAATTTTGAGGTACAATAGTTTTATAAAATAGACTTTAAACTACTCTTGTATATCTTCATCAATTTTATGTTATCTCACGAACTTTTTTCACCATCGATACAGATTTATATACGTCCCTTGCCCCCACACCGCTGATTCACTATCTACTGTGTTAATGGAATGTCTATTTGATTGGAATATTGATCAGAAATTGTCTACATTGACTGTTGATAATTGCACTACGAATGACGCTATGATTAACATTATGTTAGATAAGCTTTCTCTTGGTTCTTTGCTGTTGAATGGTGAATTTTTCCACTTGCGGTGTTGTGCACACATCTTGAACCTGATAGTAAAGGATGGTTTGGATATCATTAGCCCGAGTGTCGAAAGAATCCGCGATAGTGTTTCATATTGGTCAGCAACACCAAAAAGAGTTGAAACATTTGAGGCAGTTGCACGACAAATGAAAATCCCTTGTGAAAAAAAGTTAGCGCTGGATTGCAAGACTCGATGGAACTCCACGTATCTAATGATTCATACTGCTTTACTTTATAAAGAACTTTTTCCTCGTCTAAGGCAAAGAGAGCCTCAATACAGAAGTGTACCCAATGAGAGTGATTGGAACTTGGCTACGGAGATTTGTGATAAGTTGGAGATATTTTATGAAGCGACTGAATTATTTTCAGGTACAAAATATCCCACCGCCAATCTTTACTTTCCAAATATTTGTGACATAAAGTTGGCAATCCGTGATTGGAGCACATCATCTTGTGATGAAGTCAAATGGATGGCATCAAGCATGAAGGAAAAGTTTGAAAAATATTGGAGTGGCATGCATGGAATTCTAGCTGTTGCAACTGTATTAGATCCGAGATACAAGATGAAACTAGTGGAATACTATTTCCCTTTGATCTTTGGAGATGAAGCGCAGGTAGAGGTTGAAAAGGTTAGAGCATTTTGTCATAAGTTGCTCAAAGAGTACAAGAGACCACGTCATTCGACAGAAAATACATCTCAATCTTCTTTATCTTCGCAATCAGAGTCATCTACTACTATTGGAAAGCATTCTCGCATGGCTGGTTTTGATACATTTATTAGTCATTCTGTTACCGCTGATCATGTAAAAACAGAGCTTGATGTTTTTCTAGACGAGTCAGTATTGCCAAGGGTGGATGGTTTTGATTTATTGACATGGTGGAAAGCAAGTTCAATAAAATATCCAACTTTACAGAAGGTTGCTAGAGATTTATTAGCCATTCCAGTATCTACTGTAGCATCTGAGTCAGCGTTTAGTACAAGTGGTAGATTTGTGAGTCCACATAGAAATAGGCTTCACCCGAAGACTTTAGAAGCTTTAATGTGTGCTCGGGATTGGCTTTGGACTGATATTCATGGTATGATTTATTGTTTTATATTAGTTATTTATACACTTTCTTTTATTACTGATTTTTTTCTCTATTGTATATAGAAAATTCTGCTCCTTCATCATACAGCGGAGCTTGTGCAATGTTTAGCGAGGAGGACATTGACGAAGATGTATATTTTTTTGTTTAAATCTTCAGTTAAAATCATTCTTGATTATATAGTATGGTTGTATTATTACTCTAATTACATTTCTTATTTACTATATAGGAATCAACTTTGAGTCTTGACTCTTGACCTATGCTAGTAAGAGTTGTGGGGAAGAATGAAGATTGACCCATACTAGTAAGAGTCTTCATCTATGTTGATATTATTGTTTGTTAAATTCGAATTTTGTATTTGAAAGTTGGGATATTGTTTGCATTTTCATTTGTGATATTGTTTGCTAATTGACTTATTATTGTGTTTTTGTTTTTATTGACTTCGCTTCATAATTTTTTTTTTCAATTTAACGGTAGGAGTTTGGACTTATAAAAAATAATTTATTTTCGTGGTTATTAACCGAACCGAACTGAGATACGAAGCAAGCCGAACCGAACCGACTTTCGTGGTTATGGTGCGGTTATGGTATGGCCAAAAATTTGGTGGTGCGGTTATGATTTTGGCCGAACCGACCTCGAACCGAACCGCTGCCATCCCTACATGGGAAGGAGAAAGAGTAAGTAAATAATTTTTAAAATAAATAACTTTTTTGGTTAATCAAAGTTAAATACAGATTAGTTACTTATTTTAAGACAAACATAATAATTACTTTTTGAAAAAAGTAAGAAAACGTTTAAAACATATTTGTCAATAAGTAACTTTATTGTTTTTATTTTTTAAAGCTAGAAATAAATAAATCATTTATTTTGACAATAAAATTAGATAAATAAAGTAATGCACTTTTAATAAAAGTAAGAATTAATAGCAGAAAACATCCTAAAAACGTTTTCATTTGCAACATATCAATCTACCTATTGAAAATAGCAGAAAATCTCTCTATTTCAAAGCTTTTGAACGAAAAGCCCCAGTGCCCCCACTATCGTCAAATTTCCAGTTAAAAATAATAAAAAATTCAAAATTAAAAAACAATAATTGTAATTTTAGTATCCAAACTTTTTATTCTTTTACAAATTATACCCAAAAAAATTTTATGTACTACTCACACTCACAAACCTTTAAAACTTTACTTTCCACCCTACCTCACTTCATTTTATTCCCCAAAACTTTATTATTTTATTTAATCCCTTTCAAAATCCTCCTAAATCCCTCACCTCAAATTCACCATTTCATGTTCTCATTCCAAATATGGATATTTGAGGTGAGAGATTTAGGAGTTAAGAAAATTGTTATTGAATACAAATTTGAAGTTTTTTATAGAGATATTATTTTTTTCTACTTGATAGTCAGTATTTTCTATCTCCCCACTTTCATGTATACGTTCATCCACTGTGTATGTGTTCTAAATTTATTTTAATTTCAATATAAAATAGTTATATTACACTTATTTGAGCGCACATGAATATTGTCTTTATTAAATTCCGTATATATGTATATTGATTATGATTTTTCATTGTTAATGAGAAGAAGAAATGATGAATTTGGGGTGAGAGATTTTGGAGGAGATTAAATAAAATAATAAAGTTTTCGGGAAGAAGATGAAGTTGTGTGGGGCGAAAAATAAAATTTTAAAGGTTCGAGATTGTGGATGGTACATAAAAAAATGGATATAATTTGTAAAATAATAAAAAGTTTAAATACTAAAATTACAATTATTACTTTTTCATTTCGTCATTTTTACTTTTTTAACGAAAAATTTGACGATAGGAATTTTTCGCACAAAAGGTTCAGAATAGAGGAGTTCTCTGCGATTTTCAATAAGTAGGAGACATAACGTAAATGAAAACGTTTCTAAAGAAGTTTTCTGCTATTAATCCTAAAAGTAACTTTGCCCCCTTAAAATAAATTATTCAAACTTTTTTGCAAAATAATCTTGACAAGGAAAAGCTAGTAGCATCTAAATACCTCATAGTGACCATAGTAAAAGAAGACACGAATTATCTCTACAAATTATTGAAGGCACCGAAAAAAGAAATGTTAAAACATTCAGAGCATTATAATCAAATGTTTGAGACCACCAAATTGTTCGGATGTTCGGGAAACGAAGTCTTTTATGAACAAGTTAGGCCTTCAATCAGATATCGTGTGCATGTCACGTGCCCACTTAACTTCTATATAGATTTTTCGCTAACTATTAGAATGTGGGAACACAGGTGCCACAAATAAAATATTAGTGCATAACTGCCAAAAGAAAGGCCGGGGACTTGCACCCGACAAAAATCAGTTGATATAGGAAAAATCCAAAAAAGTTAATTTTGTTTCATATTGATACGGATAAAAGAGAGTTGGCAGATTACAGGTAAAATGGCATACATTGAATCTTGGGACACTAAACACAACCGAGCAAACAAGCCCCTACCTCCACGGTTGGGGACTGTCTATTCGGGGTATCAAGCTACAGCCCCCTTACTTTCCCCCATCACAACTCGCACAATTGCCACCAACATCGCCATAATACCACAATATACATGAAGAGAGGGAAAGCCAGCCAGCCAGGTCAACGGTTAACATACTATACCCAATTGTGAAATGTAACAAAATATTGCTGAGCATGAAAAGGCTAAAATTCTTCCTGATACATTTTACTCAGCTTAATGGGAGGGGAGGGGAGGGGAGGGGGGCACTTATCTTATATATACAACCACCTCCAAACCGTACAAAGAATCGTGCATTCCAGAAAGGGAATGATCCAGGGTTAGTTCTGAGCACGACCCAAGATCCCACTGTGGTGGTAGCCAAAAGAACTTCAGGTTCTTCCACGACCCTGTGGCCCCTATAAAGAATGTGTCTCAAAGAAGAATCTTTTGCTACTGAGGGCGTTGACTTCACCCTACAAAAGGTATGTTGCAGCCAAAGATCTGCAACAAACTTATGGCATGTTTGAGTTGTTGGATTAATTTTGTGGACTAACATAATCTAATGACAATTAACATTTAATCATGTGCACATGACATTTGGGCCATTTATGGGGATGGACAACATTATATCACTAA